TTTCCTTGTCTACATGAAAACTGGTGCTTCAATCGACAGGCTTATACAAATCAAGAAACGCCGCGCCTATCGCTGCACGCGACATAGCGGCAAATTACGAATTTCCTGACCGTCTCCTTTTTTTTCAGGAATCACAATGTTCTCACCTCCGCCTTCGTTGTCGTGGGAATCATTCTCTGTTATTATCGAAGCGGAATCCTCCGTTGTTATTGAAACGCACTCCTCCACTTGAGACTCTTCGGATTCCTTGGATTCATCGCAATCAGCTTGAGGGTCATCCAAAGGAATTTTCTCAACAATGGCTTCTGGAAAAAAATTGTGTGTTATTCGAACCGCCCCAAAACTGAAAATGTTACAGTTCATTTAGACAACAAGGAATCTTCACTACGGGAAAAAAAACAACACAAACCCGTCTCAAAAAGCATCTTCTCGACTGAGCGCACTCTGAAAAAGAAAGAATTGCACGGATTTCGACACTGTAGACATCCCATGAATGCAACTCGCGAGCAGTGGTGTTTGAATAGTAATTTGCTGGCGCTTATTCACTTGATGGTAGAGAACGAAGAAGGACTTGTCTTAAACGCCATAAGGCTCGCTCGGTTTTCATCATCAAAGGAACATGCTGTGAAATGAAAATAAAGACCTCAGCCGCGCGCGACAGGCAGCCGTTGACGGTGGAGCACACAGCTGCACAACTATGAAGGAGTATATCTATATGTGTGGATGAGCCGTACTGAAGAAATCGTGGTGAAAGTTGAGCCATAGGGTGTTTCTACCACGCACATAAATCGCCAAATTAAACATTTTCCCCAGGTGGGGCCTGATTATTGTGACGCGTCTCGTTCCCTGTGAACCGCGGAGCCTCCCCACCCATCTTTTTTTCTTCTTCGTTCTTTATTTTCTCTCTTATTTCTTCACTCTTATTTGTTTGCCTTCCTTCAAATACGATGAGAAAATACCTCTGGATCCTGGCAGCGACAAAATCTCCGGTTGACAGAGGGCCTACGACCCTCATCGTAGAGGATGTGTAGGTACAGTTAATGCGCTTTTGAAGGCAATGAAGAAAATGGCAAAGGAAAACAGTCAGAATGGCAGCTCCGGCAAATCAGGATTCAGCGTAGGATTAACGCTAGGGAGAAGAACGAAAAACTTACTACAGAAGTTCTTTCGTAACTTTGTCATGAAGTAACAAAGAGCCTGTTCAACAAAAAAGCTTTTTCTCACGCATTTCGAAACCCGATGGGAACAGGGCACGTGGGAAGAGCGAGAGAGATGTTCTTGGTTTAGTCTTTGGCTGCTTTGCCCTCTGTCGCATCCCTGTTTTTGCCGTCTACCACAGCCGCCCGTGACTTTACAAACGCCTGGCAGTAGAGCGGTTGTCTGTCTATACCCCCCTCTCCGAAAGATGCTGGCAGAAGGGGTTGGGGTGTGTCTCGTTTTGCGAAATTTCCTACTAACAGGGCTCAATATGGCTTGGAACGCGCATTTGCCTCATTTTTGAGCGAAGCTAGTGCTCACTGGTCTAGTCCTTTAAGGACGATTCGAACAGAATCCTGGCAAAATTAACTGGAAGCACGTGTCTCCCCCCCACCCCTAAGAGACAAACTTTGTACTCAGGTTCTGTTTATATTTCGTGCCATTATTGATGTCTAGTATTCTTCGTTCCTGATTCTATGAATAATGTGCGTACTAAGCATACGGCATAGACTGCACTAGACGGTCATATAGGAGAGATGAATATTATTTCCGGTTGAAAACGTCCGAATTAGAGCCCTTATTGACCACTTCAACCCCGACGTGGGCCACCATAAGCCTGAGATGAATCACAGCTGATCAACGATCAGTGCGAAAAAACACGGCGACGGCAAGGTAAACGTGAAAAAACATTATTTCAAGTGACTGCAAGCTTCAAGACAATAAAAAAGTCCTAAGGCAGGAAGTCTTGAACAAGGTAGGGACATACTAAAGACTATAATAAGAAACGGTGGTAGAAAATTCGCGGGATACATAGAATACAGGAAAATGATAAAAGAAGTCTCAAACAACAGCTACTTACAAAAAACGTCGTACTATGCCATTGGAAGTTATTTTCTCCTACAACAAGAACTTGCCTCAGGAATGAACCCTGGAGAAGTGAAAAATCATTCTTTTAGCCGCAGGTTATGGGTAAAAACAGTTAATCCAACCGTGGTCGCTCTCTGTAGGAAAGTGCTCCATGGAGCGCCTACTCAGGGACATTAAATTTTTTCCTGCTTAACGTATTTCCCCTTCCCGATGTATCTTGCCACCTGCAGGTAGGGGGAACTACACTGGTGAATTGTCTGAAAGATAGAGGAATAGCTCAGGGATTCGACTTCATAGAGACCCACAAGCATCTTATGGTACAAATGACCCAAAAAAAGAGTGCTCTCGCTCAAATTGACTCGAAACAATTCAAAGGTCGGTGTAATGTGAGACTATCTCATAGGAGAATAGGATTAGTCTGAAGAACAAACTCATCAGCCAAAGTTAACCTGGGGATTGAAGTGAAGTAATAGAGATCTCTGATGGTCTATCAACGAAGAGGGGCCATACCAGAGTCGTTCTGGAGGAGGGTATCTGACCTGCCGGACCTGCCGACAGGGACTGAAGTTATAGAGGGTATTCCAACGAAGAGGGGGCATATTAGATCTGTTCGAGAAAGGGCCGTATCTGACCCGCCAATAAGGACCGGAGTAGGCGTGAAAGGGTGTAAATATGAGATGACTAGTCCCTGGAAAATCATTGAAAGATGAGAAGAATACAAGTACAATGGAGAACAAGTCTACGGGTCAAAAGGGGTTCTGGTGAGCTGATGTGGGGCCAGGATACTCCTGAACCGCCCAATTTCCTTATCACCACGATCACACATGCACTGTGTGGAATTCTTTTAGATATCCCCACTTTTTGTGGGACATCACTTGGGTGCGGTGTATTTCAATGACCGTTTGCACAGCATCAAACATTGGTGTTTATTAAATGAGCTTCAGAGTCGGCCTCAAGGGAGCAGTTCGAGCAGAGGTTATAGAGCAACGTAGAGTTCCAGCTCGTCCAGTCTAACAAGCTTCACGAAAGAGAGACAGCCAAGAGTGAGCATGACAGTGCTTCTAAACGCGTTCATACTTCGCATTTCAGTCGATTCAGTTGCTCCATTCAGGAATTACAAGTTTGCGACCACCCTCGCTCTACAGCTCATCTTTCGACCACGATGAACCGCTTTGTTCCGAATGCGAACTGAATTTGCAGCTGCGCAACGACTTGCGCTGTACACGGCTTGGCGGGAGGCGGGCAAGAGATTCGTGAAGTGCCGTTTCGTCACGCGCGACATGAAGGCAGTTGGCACGATGGTTTCCTACTTAGCCTAAAATGCTAGTAGGGCGCTATATAGTGGGGAAATGGCGAAAGAACGGAGTGAAACGGTCAAAATCCTGCGAAGAAAAGCCTCCGTTCTCAGTGACTTGTAAATCGATTTCGGACGAGTTTCCCGTAGGCATCTTACCAATCACCGCTACCGAAGATACGGCTGCATATGTGTACCCATGTATGCATGCAGCATCACGGCCGCTTCATACCAATCCCTTCGCTTCATAATTTGCTTAGCAAATGAATGAATACGAGCGTCAGGAACGGTCGTCCATTTGTGGGCGGGCGGGCGTGGCGGGCGTTTGGGACGTAAAGTTGTGGTTTGATAGGGCCCTTATAAGGGCATCTTTCGCTCGGAGGAAACCGCTATGGCAAGCGGCTGGTCCAGGGTCGCGAATTTATACCGCAGGAGTATTGATCCTTAAGTCGTCTTGGAAGGATTTATCGCGTGCCTTTAAGTTCATGTAGACAAAGAAATGATGGACACTTAGGTCTATTGTTTGTCATACATTGTCTATTCTTGACCAATACCACCTGAAATCTTCGTCATTAGCAGGCGCGACGTCGCACGCGACGCCCACTGGCGCGGCGAATTAAGATTCTCTTGCCGCATACCCCAAAAGAGAAGGCAAATGAATAATAGTGTTAGGAAATGAGGGTCAAAAAGAGGGATAAATAACGAACTCTTTTTTGCTAAGATGGAGAAGATCCAGCAACGCTGACTATAAAGTTTTCACCCGCTTTAGAGATAAGAGAGTGCTCAACTCTTCCTCACTCTTAATTCCACCAAGGTAAATCCGAAGACGGGCAGTAGCCGAATCGGGTTCGCAACCCTACAGTATGTCCAGCACACACCAGCCAGCATATTGCGATTATCTTGTCACAAACTCTTTGTACCCAGGTGATGGAGAACACGAATACTTGTTGGGGTGGCTTTAGGCAACTTTTACTTATGCAAAGTTATTAACAAGAAGTAGTGACAAGTGACAATACGCAGTACCCGCTAGAAAAGCACTTTATTCTATTATTTGTGAAACTGCTTCATTACATTATTTCCTGACCATTAATGAACGTCCCTAGTGAATAACTAAGAGAAGATGCAAAGAAGAATCATAATTCGCCGCGATTTCAACTGATAACGAATCAGCCGCAATACTGTTATCGAAACATGAATAGCAAACGGGTAAGCTCTCATTATAGCATAAATAGCAGAGAATCCGCTCTGAAGAGAGAAGCAAGAAGAGGGAAAGCTCGTAACCAGGCAAAGAAATTCCGGTAGAGCTCACCTAAGGTATGTTTCGTCACAACCTGAGAGGCGGTATTTCCCCTGAATAAGGAGGCGTAGATGTTTACAGGCACTTGGGGTAGCAAAACTTTCAAATTTTTCCGCGCATGGCTGCACGACGCGCTGCGCTGCAGATTACGATTTGGAAGTGAGTTCAAAAGTCAATGAATTCAGTTCGCAAACGAATTCAAGAGGCAACTCTCCAAGTGATATCAATTTTTCTCTGCCTTTAACATTCGAAATCGTATGGCCAGGCAGAACAGCTCGTCCAGAGCGGGCGCGGCGTCGCTCTCCGCGTCCAGAAGTGTGGCAAACTACAATTAAGATTGTCACAATAACAGAGTATCGCTACAAACGCAAGCCTTTTCTTGCTATTTGAAGGAATTAGCTTGCCATCGCCAGCCGCTGCGAATACACGCCCAGTCCAATGCCTGAGGCGTGCGACTCGCTGTATGGCCTTCAAGTCGGGATTTTTTCGGCTTACGTTTTTGTGCTGTATGGCTTTCTGACGCCGCTGTGAGCGTCTTGCGTTCTGCCACCCGCATGCTCGCTCGAATGCACGCAAACTCATCTGAGTTTTCTGCGGTTTCTTGCCCTTTTTCTCAGTTTTCAGATATTTAGCGACCCAGCAAATTCGTA